ACAATATTGCTCTAGACATTCTTTTCAAGAATAAAATAATTAAACTGGGAGTTTTGTGGTCCCTCTCCAGCTCTGAACTCACAGATCTGTCACTTGAAACTCAGCAGACCCACATCTTTTATTGACAGTGGTTAAAGCATAGCTGCACTCCTTTTTTCAATGGCTGCCAAATTTGTTTTAGGATAGCAGTAAATAACAAGAGCAGATCAGCTTACCATGCTCTTTGCATAATATGGTTTAAAATTTATACCCTAGCAATGGGCAAAGAAGTAAAGAAAATAAATGAATCTCTTTAGCTGCACTTGAAAGGCAGCAAGGATTTAATCAAGTCAGTCAATTGATCACTGCATGCTTGATGTTGGGATTTGATGTTTGGTGCCTGTTAAAACTGTTTATCCTTGTATGATTGACAAGAATGTATATAAAGGATAAAGGACACTTAAAGACCCGTTGCCTTTGAAATTCTGGTTTTGATTAAAATGACATAAATCCACTCCCACTTTGAAGACAAACAAACAAAAAAACAGTTTTAAGGAGTGTTTTACATAAAAAGTACTAAAGATGATTTCTTTGGTAGATAAAATATGAGAGTCACTATCCATTTAGGTGTTACCTCATACAATGAATGGCTTGTCAGCGGCACATCTAATTGATGACACAAAAACCAAGGAAAACATCTCTAACAATGAAGGAAGCTTTATTATTGATGACTCATTAATTTTCTACAGAGTCATTATTATTATTAATATTATTATTATTATTAATATTATTATTTAATCTACTTCATTTAAAGATTGCATAGTCTTGTTTATTAAGGTTTGATTTGTGGAGAGTTAGTTAGGTATACTTTGAAATGATTACAAATAACTAAAATTTGTATTCATTTTTGTTTTTTCTTTAAAGGTGTAAGAATATACTGACCTAGTTTTGTTATGTAAATTTGTAATTAATTTTATTGGAGAGGCTTTTGGAAAGTGATTGGTTTATTAGCTTATGGACCCTCCCATTAATCAAGAGATTAAGAGCACCCTGGATGGGTGTGGTAAAGAGGTTTTTTGTTTTTTGTTTGCCAAATGTCAGATGGGAAGACGGGGGGGTTAGAAAATGATTTTTTGACCACTTTTGAAGTTGTTAAAGCAAATTAAGTTAACTTTCGTTTAATTTTAAGTTTTAAGAAGTTATTTGACTGATTTCTGTTTATAATTTTCCACGAAATAAACGGTATATGACGGCATAACAATGGAGTCAGAAGTGCGTTCTAAAACAAACCTCCCGTTGCCACCCATAGCCTTTTCTTGGACTTTTTTGGTGTTTGGAACGTAAAAGGCCGCGACATATTTTCTTCATAGTGCCTGGATCACTTGTACCACAGCAGTTATTTATCAATCAGTATCAATATTTTTGTATACATATATGTATGTGTGTGTATTTTTTTTTGCTAGTGTGACTTATGTTTTCCTTAAATATGTCATTTGAGCATTCTGCATTCAAACTTCTATCAAAGCAATCTATAAATAATGTTTGTTTACTATTATTATTATTATTATTATTATTATTATTATTATTATTGTTATTTAAATGCTATTAAGAGGTCATAATTACATTAAGGTCCTGTTGTTCAGAAAATGTCCTTTTCTCACCTGTGAATACACCAAGAAGGCCAGTCATTCACGTGTATTGTGCATGTATTTTTAATTGTGAAATTACCAACACATATAATTTTATTTTAGACACATTTTACTCATTTCGGGGGGTTTTTCAACTACTCATTTCAATTTGTTTAGCTCTTAGACCCCTGCCTCTACTCTTTTAAACAGTCTGAAGGACTGAATTAAATATCTAATGTAGTTTGTTTTTTTTAAATCTTTTTACAGGCATGTTACAAAATCGCTGGAACACCAACATTATTGCAACTTCTTACACATGTTAGTACAAATTTAGCTGCCAATATATAAGTGAACATGTTTACATATTGACTCAGTAGAGTTCATATTTCCGTCTATGCAATTTTTGTGTATTTTCACACAATTTTTGCACCAAATACAGTATGCTTTTGAGTTGGATGTAACAGTCTGTCAGAGCCTTTACGTTTATACAACTGGACCACAGCAGTAAAGCATTATTACAGCACCTCATCTGCCCACCCTCATTGCAATGTCAGAGGAAAATTGTCACTGTGTGAACATGGCCCATAGGGCACTTCCCTCCTACTCTCTGTTACATGACAGACAAGCTGAGTAACTAGTGAGTCAGCTAAGTTGAAAGGTTCTGCAGGTTATGTAAATATATATTGCAAGGAAGTGAGTCACTGATGATTCTGCATCTCTTTTGTGAAGGGCCACTTAATGAGTTCTAATTTTTCATTATTTTTCAGTTTTATCAGAGCAAGAAAGCATAAATAAATAAATGGGAATTATCATGGAAGGCAAAATTATACCTTTAAAACGGTCAGAAAAATGTCAGAAACGTATACTGTGATCATGAAAATCACCATCTTCAGTAAGACTTTCTATTCAGTATAACATAAGTGAGGTTGCAAAAATGCTTCTCCAGTTGGATCGTGATAAACAAAGTAAAAAAAAGAAAAAAGGTCCCAGTAGGGGAAAACCATAAGATTATACAGTATGAGGTAAAACAACTCTAATCAATAGTGTGATACAGTATCACTGTTATCAGACTGTAGATATTTTCATTCCCATTTTTGCGATGATAAATTATTATCCACTGCAACAACCAGGCTGGTGTGTGTGTGTGTTTGTCTGGGTGTGTACTATAACAAAGGCTGTTTCTAGTATTTTGGCAGGTGTTTGTATCTGCTGGTCTGTCTATTCACTGAATATATTATTAAAAAACAGCAACATTGTGATAAGGTATTTTATTTAAATGAGTTCAAATATGGCTTTGTCCCATGAATATGAAGCAATGGGACGTAGAAAGTGGACGTTGAGGTATAAGGCATAAGGCCACTGACCATACTTCTTCAAGGCCCTGTCCATTTTAATGTATTTATTTTAATGCAGTGTTAATATAGGATATACTACTATGCAAAGGTTTTGAGCCACCCTTCACATCTGCAGATATACTTGAAACTATACAGCAAAACACAATTTGTGTACCTCTAACAAGCCTGAAAGTCAACATTCCCTATGATATCGCTATGACGACCTTTATTATTCAGCACAGCCTAAACTTCTTAAATAAGTTTCCTTGTAACTTCTTCAAGTATTCTTCAATAATAGTTCTACAGGCTGCTTGAAGGTCATTTCAAAGCTCTTCTTTGAAAGTTGTCTGATTTTTGTTCTGTTCTCTGTTAAGATAATCCCACATTGCCTCAGTAATGTTGAAGTCCATATTGGGGATGTGAATTCATGAATTACAGTGTTCTATTATGTGTTTTTCTATTTTGTGTTTAACCCTTTAAGACCTACCATAGAACCAAGTCCGCCAGAGCTTATAGTATATTTTTACATGCTGTGGAGCCATTTTTTGGAGCATTTCAAGTTGCTATACATCAATACAACCACTATAGCCCAGATTTTAATAATATGTCTGCATTAAGTGCATAGTAATTACATAAATTGCAAAAAAGTGCAATAAAATACAAAAAAATTTAAAATCGTTTTTGTTTTTTTAACATATATTTCTAGTTAGAGAAATTTAAGAGGCTTATCCCTCAAAACTGTAAATACAAAAAAGCTGCACAAACTAGTTTCCCACCAAAGGAAATTTATTTTAAGTGTCTTCATAGTTTTATTTTTGAGATACACCAATTTTCATATACTGCAGGAAAAATGAAAAAATATATTATAGTGCAAATTTGCAAAATAACAGCATATGCGTCAAAATAAAATATTTCCAGCAGTGCAATATGAGTCCTCAGCATCCCAGAAACGACACAGAAAGTCATAAAGTCAAACATAACTTTTAAAAACACAAGTATAGGCTCATGAGGCCACGATGGTAAAAACCACATTTCCGCAAAATGATGTCACTTCCGGTTTCGGGCAGGTCATGCCGGACATGCGATAGTTCACGCTGATGGACATAGGAAGTGTTACAAACAGCTGATCGGATCGGCAAAGCGTGTTTCTGTGCTTTTTATGCAGTTTTTGCAAAGCTATATGTGGAAGGAAACTGTGACCTAGGACAAGCTGAAGGCATAAGATGTAAGTACAACTCCTCCGGTTTCATATGCAAAAAAAATTATTGCGCTAGCTTACGTGGTTGCAGTGCTACCAGGATTTAAAAATAGTTACGCAAAATGTAGCGTGTCCGCTCCGACCGGCTTTAAAGGGTTAACTGCATTGGCAGTGTTCTTGGGATCATTGTCATGCTGATGCAGATGGTATTTCATGGTGGGTCAAAATATGATGGTACTTCTTTGGTCATAATTCAGTGAATTTTGACAAGATCCCCAACAACACTGACTAAAATCCAGCACCAAACCCTGACAGAGCCTCTACCATGGTTTACAGACTTCCAGCTTTAATGGTGGGGAGTCCCAGATTTAAACCTAAATCTGGGACTCCCCACCATTTGACCTTAGAACTGAAGAAGCTTCTCGGATGAGAGGTGAAACGTCTTCAAGCAACTTAAAGAAGTCCAGACGCTTTTCTTTGCAAGCTCCTTTGACTACGATGACCTGGATGACTGAGAACCTTCACAGACATATAGATAGATAGATATACATATAGATATATAGATATAGCCAGAAAGGTAGAAAGAGCGAGAGTAATCAAGTATGGACATTTCGGGTCCATATTTTTGAAAAAAGATAATTAATTTTAAAAAATTGAGATGGTGAAATGGTAAAAGAGTTGTCCACTCTCAGAATGACATGTCCTCTGAGTAGTTTGTCTTTGCTACTGTACTGTTCTTGTCATGCATATTGACCGGTGGATTAGCGATGGATTGCCTGTTATCCTCTTAGGAGGTGATTGCTCATGCAGCGCTCGAGTTGACTCAAGCTATGTGAGACTGTACCAAACACCTGCACTTACCACTGTAGTCTAGGTTGAAATCCTCAGCGAGGGAAAGCATCCCTGGTGTCCTCCAGCAATACAGATGTTTGCAGATGTCAACTGAGGAACAATAATTGAAAGAGAATCATGTAAATATTTCAATTTCAACAAAGAGGTTCATAAAATTGATTTTTTTTATGTCAGTATGTCAACCATTTAACCTTAAGTCAACATCTTAATAGAATCCATGGATACCATTCTCAGTGAATCATGAATAAAAAAACCCAAAACAAACAAACAACAATAACACCCCCCCTGCTTGTTCACCTTCATTTGGCTTATAGTCTCCAAAATGAATTCAGCTGCATGAATATATGTATTTTCTTTTCAAGAATTAGAACTACCTCATTAACCTTATCTAACAAGCACAAGCTAATGAAATCCTCTGTTTCAGTTTCCGGTCTTGCCAAACTTAGGCTCACTAATTAATCAAACATCACCCTCCACCCCATCCCCCATCGTCTTAATGACTGCCTATAAAGCAAAACAGAATATTCTACACACATTGCCCAGGGGAAGGCAACTTGTGCACAAATTCATGCATTTTTATTGGAAGTTAAAATAAAGAGAAAGAAAAGCTTTACACTCAAAAGAAAGCCACGCTTTGTATTCGCTGCAATAATCAAAACAGAAGGAAAACACAATTTCTTCATCCTTTGTCCATGCCTCATCCGTGCTGGTATATTTCTCTGTTCGCAATGCAAGGCTGCAATTTTCACACTTACATAAATATTAATATCTACATAAGCAAGCTCTAAATGACATTTACACTCAGTATTCATGTTACTCTTTTTACTCTAAGCAAACAATTCTTTGTTCTCATCTCTTGTGATTCAGAGTGTATAACATGTTGGGTCAAATGAAAAGCACTGGAAAAATCAAATCTCCAACAATCAGTTATGGAAAACGGCAAAATGGCTAGATTTTCAGTCTATGAGAGGACAATAGATAATGTGATCCAATTAGTGGTGGAGGCTGCTATTTGCATTCCAGTGAAAGGGGTGATAGTTAAAGTGGCCCAAGACAGCTGCCTTTCAGCAAAGACCCATGACAACACAAAAAGCAGCGGAACCAAGAGAAAAGGGGAATTTGGGATTCTTTAGCCGTATTCTTTTAATTACTCATCATAATGACTCCATTTAGCTGTTCAATGACCCATTTTATGGCATTGAACAGGCATGGGAAGCTCTCCGTCCTTGGCAGGGTCAGTCCTGCAGCTGCCCCTGCTGCCATCTTTCAACCAATAGGGAACATTTTCCCTACACTGGGCTCTAACAGTCAGGTAGCTCAAGAATTCGCTCTCAAATACATTCACACACGCACACTGGCTTCATCACCACAAATTAGATATGCACCGAATGTCACTCCGCGAGGGAATTCAGTTCAAAGAGGTGCTCATTATATGGAAGACAATAATTATCAAATGCGCAAAACATTCATGAAGAATAAAGATAGTTTGTCGTGTTGGCACCTGCCATGAAGCTGGCAAGGAGCAAGATATGCAAATAACTAGTTTTTGTTTTGTTTCTGCAGTGAATTGTTTAAAAAAGTTTTGCAACAAGACCACCTACAATTCTTTGTTAAAGACAAAGTCTTGTATTTAAAAAAAATGCAAAAATAATTAAAAATCTAGATCTTTTCATTTAAAGCTCCAACCTCCATTGTTATTCTTGTTAATATCAAAGATTGAACCATTGCACTAATAACAGGTTACTTAATAAAGTAAATTATGCCATAAATGTCAAGTTTTCATCATATATGTATTAATTTTAAATAATTTTCCCATCTAGACTTAAATGTTGGGATGCAAAGTAATATTCCTCCTTGTTGTTAACAGAAAGTCTTATTGTCTTTACTTTTTTCTTGCTTTTTATGCAAGAAGATATATTTGAAGATTTGTCAGGTGGCAGCCCTGGAGGTAGGGATGAAGGAGGGGAGGTGCGGAGGTGGTGAAGAGAAGCAGACCCCATATGGTCGCGAGAAGCTGGATTTTCTGGCACATCTCCAGGATGCTGACCCAGAGCGTTGGAAGGTTGAGCATTGGCACCAATCTGACTGATTTTTCTCAGCTGCTGACGTGCAGAGGAGCACACATGGATATGAGTACAAAAATAGCTTGCTATGGACCACAGCGTGACGCAACTGTTCAGAATTTAAATCATTGCCATTTGTTTCTGTTCCATGTCAACTTTTTCCGAGATGACTCATACAGTTTCAATGAAAATAAAATCATGAAATGATTTATGCTTTTAAGACAAAGAAAGACTTGTCACAATAAAAGAGTGCTGTATGATATTGTGTATAAATGATGTTTCATGTAATTTAATTTGTACTATTACTCTCTTAAGTGAAAGCTGTAAAATAAAAATACTTTTTAATGCTTGGAGAGATTCTCCTACTGTTTGCAGTCTGACATATAAAGAAAAAATGACAAGTCAAGTTCCAACTGCTTCCCTCTTCTTCTTTTGTAAAAATACAAATAATCTTGTTGTTTCTGTGCAGTAGCAGCAAAATGAATGCCTTAAGTGGTTTGCAGAGAAAGGTCTCCACATTAGCACTAAAAAAGAGACAGTAGAGAGATAATAAATAATATTCTGAATTTGTAATACATAAAAGAACAAGGAATGACCCAGAAAACGGTTATAGATTCTCCAACTGGGTGATGTCTCTATGCTCCTTGAACATCAAGAACTCAGTTCTATGATTTATATATTAATTCACAATGGCAACATCAGACATAATGTATCATGGCCCTTAATGTCAGCAACAGTAAGCCCTGTTATTGTAATCCACCATCAGCACCACCTCAGCTCATCTCACTGTTAAATCATAGGAGGCCACAATGGCTGGAAGCTGCTAGGCATTCTTTAACATTTCGTTTTACAGTCTGATTACAAAGTGTACAAACGCTTCCTGATGAGCAGCTCCATGTTTGTCAGTGACCTCAGTGACAAAGACCTTGGTGGGAGAATAAATTCACACAAAAGGAAATCCTCCAGGTTCTTTTGTCTGGAAACGCTCGGTTGATTTAGGTTAGGGGTTTGCTTTGTATAGGAGAAGTGGTAGGGTGTTTGATGTCTGATTCAGCTCAGTCACAGAAGCCTAAAGAGCAGATCGTGACTCCCTGATAACCCACTGGCAACCTCTGGTCACTGGGGGAAAATGTGTTGTATTGGAAAGATGGTACCTCTTTGTGATTTGGTCAGTAGCAGATTGCCATGGTTGCCCATATTTGGCATGGAAGACAGCAACTTGTCTGCAAACACCCGCTTCCTGCCAGTGGTAAGCCTTGAAAAAGTGGCAGAAAAGGAGTCCATTGACCTTCAAAGTAAAAAAGTTGCTCCTCTTTGCTTCAGCCGACATCTCAAAAGGCTCACCAGTTTCACCTTAACCCATTTTTCACTCGTGACCCAATTGCCAGATGTTCGCTGACCAGTCACTAGCCCAGTGTGGCATGGGGCTAATTTTAACATTTATATTCTCATACACATTTTCACAATTCTAATAAAAAGACTGCATTAAAAAGTTATAAATGTTACTTTAACTTTTGAGTCCACCTTCAGTGGAGCAACTCTGAAAATTAAACTGGTTCGAATTAACTGCATGTAGCTGTTACTCTGGCCAGTCCAGAGTGTTTCCATAAAGACATGATTTCAGCTCTTGCTCTGCCTCAAGAGAGTCGTCTCAAATGTTCCATTCCTGGATGAACCCTGTGGGCATCAGGTGGCAGCTACAACCATCTGCAATTTAGAGAACATGTCCTTAGAAAAGTATTGACCTTAGTACCTTAAGCTGTAGACAGCTATGTATGGCATACAACTTGAAAATACATTAAAACGAATGAAAATGAAATAGTTTTGTGAAGTTCAACTTAAAAATATGGACCATGTTATAAAAAATTCAAGTTCTTAATTGTTCATGATTATAAAGTCAAGCTGCATAGACTGACAGTTCTGATAAGGTTATTTTGTCTTGTAATATAACACATTTACTACTACTGGCTAAAGGCCAGATCTCACTCTGAGCTTGTGAGAGGTGTTAAGATGTGACAGGAGTCTTGCTTTTCAAAAACTGTACACAGGAATTACTATGAGTCACATTTCCTTTTATTACATCAAGACATTTTTTTATTTTGATAAGATGACAAGGTTATGCTGGTAAATACATTTTTCTGTTATGTACTTCCAGAGCTGTCATTCAGCAAGTGCTGAGATAATTTAGTTGCTCTTAAAAGCATCCGAAGTAGGGTGGAGGAGGCACAACCCATCTTTGTAGCCCAACGCAGTCACAAGCAACAGCCCTGCAGTGAGAAGCAGACTAGCTAAAAGTATCGCTGCTCTTTAAAACTTCCACTCTGATGTAGAAAGAGACTGTGTGATAGGAGGTGTTTCATGAACACTGCACTGTGAGTCCATTTAGTTAAGCTTCCTGACTGCGTTGGTGTTGGGCAAGTGGGAACTAAAAAAAATGAGTGCAGGAAACCATCACCTGAGGCTGTGTGCAAATCTAAATTCAGGTGATTACACTATAGCCAAGCTTTCCAACCTACCATGAAATAACTGAACTAGAGGGTGAAGTCATTAAATTTACATATTGTCTGGTAATACTTGGGAGGTGATTTCTAGATTTTATATCTCAGTTACTAAGTCCCATTTAAGCCTAAAGGTAAGGAAGTGGAAAGTTTCACAGCTCGTTTCCTCTACAGAGGAAAGTATTTGCTACCTGTTAAAACTACAAACAAGCCCTAAGCAAAGCAAAAACACACACACACGTAAAGCACGCACACACACACACACACACACACATGGAAATTCATCCTTTCATTTAAAAACTGGCCCATGTGCATGTGTATGAAGACAGAAAACTTTGAAATTGCATTTCTAAAAATAGACAGGCATACTTACTGTGCCCTCAACCCCTATCTACAGTAAAAAACACATTTGGAGACAGAATGGGTTTCCTGATAGCTTCATGAAAGCAAGATGTTGGTGTGCTGTTCCCTCACTCATTCAATATTAAAGTAGCATGGCATGCTGTCTAGAGCCACTATAATGATGTTG